ACACACATGCTCCATATTGTTTTCTTTTTTGTTTTGTGCAAAAATAGTACTTGAAAATTCAAAAACACTCACGATTTTCATGTTGTTTTCTTTTTTTGGGGCAAAAATTGCATTTAAAAATTCCAAAACATCTTTTTGGTGTTCATCTTCACCAAATTAGTTTTTAGTATTTTTCATAAAATAGATTCTGAAAACAAAGCCGTGATTTCTTCTATTTTCAAGAAGTTATGATCCGTAGAGTCTAGGCTTCATATCACAAAGTTCACACAAGGTAACTCTATGCCAGCCTCATTTGGAAATAGACTTTTTTTGGTAACTTTTTGATTTTTTGACTAAAATATAAGATAAAAAAACTAGTATATTTGAATCCACTTTTTAACTTTTTACAAAAAATAACGTATAAAAAATAGACAAAAAAGATTATACTTTTTTTTTTTGTACAGCTTGTTGGCTTTTAACTTTTTAGTTTAAAAGCTAAAAAGTAGAGTTGCAAAACTAGGCCGCATCTCCAACCCTACCCAAATCTCGACTCAAAGTTAAATTTGAGTAAAAAGCCACTAAAATCCTATCCACTCCTTTACTCAAACCTCAGGCTATACCAAATTGAGTTTTACTCAAATCAAAATGAGACCCAATTCCTTTACTCAAATTTCTATCCAATAAAAACTTGACACATAAGTGCTTTCACTCAAATTTTCCAAATTCTCCTTTACTCCAACTCCTAGCATTCACTCAAAACTTCACACTTGCAATTTCACTCAAATTTGAGTTTGTCCTTTGGAGTGACTCATATCAAATGAAGCTTTTTACTCAAAATTTCTACTTTGAGCATAAGTATTAGGTATCTCAATCCCTTACAACAGTTTGCTAATTAGCTAATATCAGGAAAAATTATCAACAACAACAACAACAACAACAACAATAATAATAATAATAATAATAGCTTCGGTATCTCCATCACTCCATTAAAGAGTTCATCAGAATCAATAACTATGAACTGCTCTGTAAATGATTCATTCAGTTCACAAGCTAAAAAGCAAAGTTCAAAACCGAACCTTACTTCTATAGTTCCCAATTTATGCTGTACTTGCCATAAATTTAGTCCTGCGTATGCGTGTATTTAGAGAGAGAGAGAGAGAGAGAGAGAGAGAGAGAGTACCGTTGGGAAGAGAGGTATGAATGTTTGTAGAGGCAAAGAGAGAGAGTAATCGCTTCTGAATCTGCCGAATCGCCATTGAAGGTTTTGGCGGTGCCCAACTTCGCAAGTTAACGAGTCTTCGCTGACGGGAGCCAAATATATACATACATATTACGGTGTAATTTGGGTTTTGAGGGAGAAAAAGGAAAAAATAAGATGTTATTGTTTGTTTTATAAAATCATATAAATATTCCCATAATTTTCTTTTCCTTTCTTGTTCTTTTCATTTATTCTCTTTTTTGGTCAACAATTCTTGATCGTATTACACTAACAAATTCTATAGTTTAACATTTGTATCACTATGATTCGAAACTTTTTAATTATAATATATTTGACCTTAAATTTTAAATTTTATTCTAAATAAAGACAATTGAAAACGTTTCCTTTGTAAATAAAAAATGTTTCATTTCAATGACAAAATTGTCAGTTTGCCCGCTTTCCTACCCAAACAGAGACGGATTTAGAATTATATCTTTGAGGGGCTACTCTATACTTTAAAAAATTGGAGGGGCTACTCTATATAATTTTGAAATTATCTACAAAAAATTTGGGAGTGCGAACTCCTATAATTTTAAGTTATTTTAAAAATTTTAATATAATATATGATATTTTTTAAATTTTTTTGGGATCCCCTCCTAGATCCATCATTGTACCCAAATAAGCCTGCCCCTCTTTATTCAAGAATTAGGGCACCATTAATTGAGATTGCGAGCCAAAAAAACAAAGAGGGTAGAAATAGTTTTTTTTTAGGGGTACTTACGTGTAGGTCCTAATAAGTGAATTTATTGTCTAATAAGTCCTATGAGAAAAATTTGTTATCAAAAAACGTCACTAATTATAAGTTTTAGCGACAATTTATAAAAATTATGACAAAAAAAGTCACTAATTGTTAATTTTTAGTGACATATATAAAAAATTGTCACAAAAAAATTATTTTTAGCGACAATTTTACTAAGACTTATTTTCAATAGGATTTGATAAGAATTAAGTCCAACTATTATGACCTATTGGTAGTTTACCCCCTTTTTTTTGGATATTTTTTTTATTAAATTAGTTTTTATTTTTCTAAAAAAAACTAAATATTGTCTCAGAAACTCAAGTCAAAACAAAGGTCGTATGTCACAAAAAAAATCAACCAAAATAATAAAAAAAATGAATACCACATTGAGACGGGAGTCCGGATTGTCTGCTGTGATTACCTGCGACGCCTCCTGCGGCGACGGTCCAAAACGACGTCGTTTTGGACCCTTTTTTTTTCTTCTTCTTTTTCCACTTTTGCTTTCTCTCTCATTTGCTATGTTTGGATTGAGCAATTTGGAGAGAAGAAAAGAAATGAAGAGATATGTATTTCTTTTACTTGTTTGGATAACCTAAATGGAGAGAAATGGAAAGAAATGAAGAGAAAGGGAGAGAGACTCATTTCTCTTATAAACCTCATTTTCAATCTTCTCAAAAGTAGAGAGATTGAGAGAGAAAAGAAACCACTATTTTCATAATACTAATTTTGTCCCTATAAAAATAAAAGAAATAAAATGATTAAAAATATAAAAAGGTTATTTTTGTAATATAACATAAAATAATTTTTTTTTTCTTAATGAAACCTAACCAAACAAGAATGAGAGAAATCACAATCATTTCTTTTCTTTTATTTCTTTTTTATCCAAACAAAAAGGAGAGAAATCATAATCATTTCATTTTTTTTTTTTCTTTTCTTTTCTTTTATAACTTAAGTAATCCTTTCTTTTCTTTTCTCTCCTAGATTCCCAAACATAGTGTTATCCTCAAAACAGAGAAGAGACTGACAAAGAGAGGCAGAGGCGAAGGCGAAGGAAGTTGAGGGCGACGAGGCAACGTCACGGCGAGAACCTAACTCATACACCACGGCGACGGCGATGAAGCGACAACTGGCGAAGGACGAACGACGACTTGAAGATATTCTGTTTCTTTCTATTTTATGTGTATATAAATATTACATGTATGTATATATTTCTGATTTTTTTGAGTTTTACATAATTTTTGATGATTTGTGTGATGGGTTTATGAAATTTTGGGTGTTTAAAGTGTTGAAATTGAAATTATACAACCAAGGAGAGAGTGGCAGGAAGAGAATAAAACCATAGCCATTGAAGCAATGATATGTACTCTGTAATTTTTTGCAAGGAATGCACTCCCAATGAAGTAAGCACCACAAAACAACGAAGTAGTAATGAAGACAGTGAAGAGACAAGATTTACTCTTTGGATCTGATAGTAGAGAAACCTGCAAAGATAATAAAAATTACCTTTGTGTTTGATTTCATCTTGGGTTTGATTTCTCATGTGTTTGATTTCTTGGGTTTTCTCAAAAAAAAAGATTTCTTGGGTTTTCTAAGCTCCAAATATGAACAAGAAGATTGAAAGAAAATCAACTTCTTTAAAACACAAGAAAGCCTCTGACTCTCTCTGTTCGTATCTTCTCTATTTTGAGGATTAGGGCTCTCAGCAAATGAGAGAGAAAGCAAAAAAAAAAAAAAAAATTAAAAAAAAAGGTCCAAAACGACCGCAGGAGGCACCGCAAGAAATCCCTGCAGACGATCCAGACTCATTGAGGCGGGATGACGTCATTCGCAATCCATGGAGTACCCATTTGCAATACCAACTTTTGCTTGTAATTGTGTGAATATGTTAAAAGTTTCCACTTTGATACACTTGTAACTTTTTGTTCAATGGTGAAAATCCTATTTTTTTGCTCGCAAATCTGAACTCTAATGGTGCCCTAATTCATGAGGTAAAGAGTAGGTTTATTTGGGTGGGAAATAGGGCGAATTGATGATTTTGCCTTTAAAATTGAGCATTTATCGTTTGAAAATGAAATAGAATATTCAATTGTTCTTATTTGAAATAAGATTCAAAATTCAAAATCAAATGTATCAAAATTAAAAGGTCAGAGATCAAAGTGATACAAGTCTCAAACTACATAGATTGCTAGTGTAATTTTCCATTATATTTTTCGTATTTTTTGATATTTGTTACAATGAAAAACGAATGCCAACATTAAATATTTTATATGGTCAATAAAAAAACAAGTTTATTTAAAGAGATGATGTTTCCCACTTTTAAAAAATGAAAAACGTCTTTCAAACTAATTATTTACTAATGTCACCACACCGCCACCATTACTCTCACCTCCACCACCACACCACCCTCACCGCCACTGTCATTGTTGCTATGGCCATCGCCATCACCATTGTCGTCGCCCGACCGCTATACCCCCACCTTCACCTTCACATTCGTTTCACCATCATTACCAAACATAAAAAAATATTTTCTCCACAAAACATTTTCTAAAAATGTTTTCTGTAAAAAATATTTTTCATTAAAACATTTTGTTTCATTTATTTTCTTTCTTGATCAACACACTTTAAAAGTTTGACTAGCTGAAAGAAATAAAAATAATTTTTTTATCATTCATCATGGAAATTTTATAACATATGCTAGCACTAATGGGTGAAGACATTATTTTCATTTTTCATATTTTTAAGGTTTAATTTTCATTTCTTGTATTTTTTTAAAAAATAATAAAAATGATATCCTTTAATTAATTCATGCCAAATTAATTTTTAAACATTCAAAACACAATTTAAAAATATTCCTTAAAATTGGATATTTTGAAGAAATTTTTTTCAAAAGTAATTACTGAAAACAGTTTGCCAAACAAGTCCTTCATGTGAGTTCCCTTTTTTTGTCTTTGGCAACAAAAATACAAAAATGATACCATGATTCAAATGCATCAATTATCAATTAGACTGGATACACAATTTCTCTTTTGATAATGCATGTTAAATAGAAATTCCTTAGGAAAAAATTTATAATTTCACATTACTGTTGAGCACATTCAAGGCTCACTCTCAGATCAATTGTACTACTACTGTACAGTTAGAATGATCATAAGAAAAAAAACAAATTTGGGCACTAGTCCCATTTCCATTCCATGCAAGCACATCGCATCACAGATTCTAATCTCCCATTCTTGAATCATTTCAAACAAAGGATATTTGGAATCATTTATCTGCTTTGTCACCTCAAAATAAAGATATCGCTCCAACTAGTGCACAAAACAATTAGATGATGATATAGTAGGTCACTTCTGTCTTTGTGTTGAGAGAGCCACTCATTTTTGAGGTAACCTCGTGGAGTTTGTTGCTTTAACACTTACATTAATCAATAGACCTGACATTTGCCTGTACCAGCACAAACTGAACACTCATCTGCATCTCCAGCAACATGACTTAAGCAATACTTGATTCTATCATTCATAACATCCTACAAAACAATACCAATAAAGAGAAAATGAAATAATGCAAAAAAAATTCCAAAAAAAGAAAATATCTTGAAATTGTGAAGTTTTGAAATGATTTTTATCAAGGGAAGGGTAAACCAAGTCAAAACAATGAGCGAGGGAATGGGAAGAAGGCATAAGCTATTAATAGATGTAAATTTAGGAAGTAAATCTGATACATATTGTCAAATTTTCGGGGGATTTTTATCAAGATATTTTGCACTGATGAAATAACGAAAATTAATAAATTTCATACCACAAGTAGTTCATGAAGGCCAAGAGGTGCAGTTATGATATATGACACGCCTGGGTGCCCTTTCGCAGCTTCAGCTGTTAAGGAAGGAATATCCTGCAAAAAACAGGTTATTATACATCTCACTGCTTTTTAGTTCTTAGAGTTCATCAATCATCCTAGATTCATGTGTTATGTTCACAAATATTATCACGGTCTAGTCATCATTGAATATCATGCTCACTTACCTGGTGCCAATGCCGTCCAGGGAACAAGAAAAATGGGCTTACAATCACACGATTTGCCCCTTGTTGAACACACAAACCAAATGCATCTCTTATTGATGGTTCTGCCAACTCCTACTCAAATAAAAAGATATCAACAGTGAAAATTCAACAGCATGAAAGAGAACATTTTTATAAATTTTTTATTATTATTATTATTTTATTTTACCGGCATGAAAGAGAACATCTTGAAAATCAAGAATGCATAATTTTGCTCAAAAGCTAAAGATGATCCTAATGCAAAGTTACTTGGACTAAACCAATTATTGAAAAAAGAGATCAGATTCTCATCTCTCTGCTTTGCTTAAACTCATTTTGCTTAAAAACTAAAGATGATCAAAATGCAAAGTTAACTTGGGCACACCATTACTAAGAAAAAGGTGTCCCAAGGCTTTTGCCTGCCCGATAGGGTCAAAGACATCAAAACGTGGACAAAGATCTAAGTAAATATAAGAGAGGTGAAATTTTGGATTGATGTCAACTGTCCATCTGCCACTATACAGGCTTATAGTTCAACTTTAGACCAGCAAACAGCTTTCTACCAAGATTTAACAATTTTTTTTTTTGTTTTTCCAGTAGTTTGCACATAGTATCAAAAGAAACATTACCATATGAGCAGGCTCTACAATGGGGTAGCCAGTTCTATCTCTAAACATTGCCACAAACTCATCTGAAATGATAAGTTCTGATTTCATCAGCTTCTTACAACATTTATGGAAGCGTAGTTCAACAATTATCAGATTATCAGCATACCAGCATAATAACAAAAAAGATAGTACAAACAGACTCAAATAAAGGGAACTAGTTTAGCTTACCTAGCATAAGATTAGATTCTTTTCGGCGTGAACCATGGTCAACAATAACCACACCGTCTCTGTCACCAATCCCGTGAGGCTGCTGCCTAATCCCACCATTTCTAGTAGCCAAGCATAATCTTGTTGATGAATATCTGCTGTTCATGGGATATTTCTTTATTTCCACGAGTCTGGGCAGTACCCATTTAGGGCTTCTTCCAGTTTCACTTAATATAGTCCTTTGATCATCCAAAGGAGAAAGCAAGAAAATATCAATCTCTCAAACTAATACATACATACAAAAAAAATACAAATAAATTCACATCATACAACAATATTTAACGGTATATGTTTTCAAATTGTTTGGGTTTAGCTGTGGTTTTTTGAGTTTTCCCTAGCAACCATTTCAGACCCAACACTAAACAAAAGCTAAACTCAAATCGAGATTCAAGAAACAATCTAAAAAGGGACAAAGAAAGTACCTTTTACTACTGAATTGAGAAGTAAGAGATGACATTGCCATCTTTGCTTGTGCCATGAAATTTTATCAGCTTCACTGGGGAACTTCTTCCAGCGAGAAGGCAATAATTTAATAACCTGCAGTTTACAATTTGGGGGTCCATCATCACTTCATCATTTACAGTCCATAGACATTTTCTCGTAAGTGTTTCACACACTAGATTGTAGACCTTAACTAGTAGTTTTTTTTTTAAGTACAATTATTTTCAATTTGATCTCTGTTTGTAATTATGCTTTACATCTTCAATTTTGATGACTCAACACTGTTATAATCTTAGAGTAGCAGCAAAGTTCTACTGGTATTACCCTCCCCTTCCCTCTCCCTTTTTTCAACCTAATTCACAAGTATAAAATTTCACAGAATACCAATTAACTGTGTCAACTAATAGAAATAAATCCAACCACAAGTAGAACGAGAAAAGTTTGAATCCAAATCTTTAGTTAGAGTAGGTCTAAAATTTGAAAACTATAATATTGTAATTTAAAGAAGATTCTAACTGGCTTCACATTCATTGGTGCTATGCTTTAAAAAAAAATTAAACATTTTGCTGCTTTGTTGAGAAAAAATTATGTCCTGCAACATAACCTAAATTTTGTCCAGTAAATTCTTTCTTACGAAACTAAGTGTTTCAGCCTATATGTGCCTCCTGCATCTCAGTCATTAATCTATCGAGACTAATGGTACACCATCATAATCACCACAAATTAAAAACAACATAAAATAGTTCTTTAATTTAATTGGATTACAAAGTTTATGCAAATATTATGTCAACATGATCACATTGACCAGATTCCATTCAGAGGAATACCATCAACACAAGTTCAAACATATTTGTCTACTGTCATATGATCAAAACCCATTACGGCACTTCACAAATTCACTAAAACCTCAAATGAATTTTGTCTGGGTTTAGTGAGTATTATTGGGATTGTTACCCACTTTTTGTGATTGCCAATAAATTTGTCAAAGCTGAGGCATCTCACTTTTCTACTTACAATTTAGGGCAAACAAAATTTTTAGAATTTCTGGGGAGGCTGTTGTATAGGATTACCTAATACTACAACAAAAAGATGAAATAGGCTTTTACTATTGATGAGGATTAAAATTTGATTAATTTGAAATTGAGTTCTATTCAATTCAAGCTTGCTTTAATGCTATAGTGGTTTTAATTGTTAGGTTTGCCTCTAAGCCCTCTATTTTATTTATGTTATTCGAATTTGAATTGTAGTTTGAACCTTAGTTGCAGGAATCGTGCAACCAGGTGACGAATCTTCGTAAGAAATGCGATTCCACGTTTCTTAGAAAGAAACGTGTAAGAATCGCGTTTCTGTAGAAAGAGAAACGCGATCCTGTCCAAGATGGGATTGTTGGTGGAAATAAAACAACTCAGAAACCCAAAAAGAGAGAAGCCCTAACCCATTGAAGACAGAGAAAGAGAAAACAGACAGAAACCCTAACCCATTGAAGACAGAGAAAGAAAAAGGAAAAGGGGAAAAAACCAGTTGAAGCCCTAATCGAGACTAGATCATGGTATGTTTTTCCAATCTATGTGTGTTCAACTATCTCTCTCCCTCTGTTAATCATCGAAGTCGAACCTGTTTATCTTCTTTGACTCTCTCTCTCTCTATTCGATGCTCTTCGCCGTCGTCTCCTTCGACCTTCGTATCTCTCTCTCTGTGTTCATCTTCGTCTTTGTCTCCTCTCTCTCTGTTCGTCTCTCTTGTTCCTCCCCTCTATTCGACTCCTCTCTCTTCCCTCTTCCCTCTTCGTTGTTGTCTCTCTCTCCCTCTTTTATTCTTTATTTTATTTTTTTTACCTTTTTTTGTTTTTAGTAATAAAAAAACCATTTTACATCTTTTATTTATTTTTTTATATTTTTAATATTCTCAATATCCTAAACATTAACATACAGAATAAAAAAATTATAAAATAAAATCATATATAATAAAAAAATTATAAAATAAAATATCTAATTTTTCTTTTTGTTTATTTTAACATAATTTATTATTCCTTATTTATTGCTTAGGTGCTTTGGTTGTACAAGGTTTATGCCTCCACCTTTCTTTTATGGAATAAATATGTTTGTTCTATAGTTCATTTTGAAGTATAAGAAGGTTATAATTTTGTCCAAATATAGTGGATACTAACACAATTATAAAATGTCTCCATTGTTACTTGAAGAAAGCATAATATGGCAGTTCGGATTATAAGCTTAATTTAGGTAATTACCCGCCCCCGCTTCGTGCAACTAAGGTTTGAACTTCAATAGACTGTTATTAGATGTTATTTTGTTTGTGTTTTTTTTTTTTTTAATAAATGTGATAATCAAAGAGTTTAGATTTATATTAATTTTTTTTGAAAGTTTTATAATTATAAATTCGAAATTGATCCCAACAAAATACTGGTTTGTTCAAGGACTAGAATTAACTCTTACGTTTTTAAAAGAAAAGATTGTTTTTGTGGAAGTTTGAATGATTGTGAGGTTGCATCTCAAGTCATTCTTTGTTTGGGAATATAATTTTCTGATTTCCTACTTTTCTTTCTTTACTTCATATATACTTTCCCCTACTGACTGTTTTGTTTAATTTCTATGCAGTAGACCTGCGTTTAATTTCTTCTCATACAATTCCTTTGGCTGCTTTTTTATTTTGTAGTCATTGGACTTAAGTTTATGTTCTCTATATTAATTTCCAGTGCATGATGGATCCACAAAGGATTTGTAGTGTAAGCAAAATTGTAGTGACTCAATTAGCATTTCATATAACATATTCATTGAAGTTGTCTTGACTTAATTTTCCATGTATGTTTCATTCAGTATTCAGATAAATCGAACTAGACAGCAAAGGAAGGATGTAAAAGAAATGGTATAGTACTCTCTCTCTCTCTCTCTCTCTCTCTCTCTCTCTCCATTTGAGTGATTTTAGGTTGATTCTAGCAATTTCTGCTAGTTTTAAGTTGATTTGGAAAATTTTTCTCACAAAGGATTTATGTTTAAGAGACGGTGGAGCTCTTGCTATTTTGGGAAATTTTTTAATTCTGAATTTTCTTATTGCTAGATGGTTTGAAAATTGCTATTGAATTAGCACTTGTTGAAGTATTAGTCTATTTGTTTTGCTGTGGTACTGTTAGGAATACTTCTCTTTTTCTTTTATAATTCCAGTATGTGACTTAGAAAAGTAATACGTATATGTCTTTATATTAATTTCATTTTCATTTGTTTCTTTTCAGTTGGCCGTTCAAATTGCACGCACTGCAACCATTTTCCGAATTGACAAGGTATTTACCTAAGTTTCTTAAAATTTGAGTAATTATAAACTACAAGTGTAATCTAAAATAGTTCTATGTATTATTGGTGGGCTGTTTTTTACTGAATTAATGGTATTCTTACTATTAATGAGTTTTATATTCTATCAAAATGGTATTTTGTTATGGGTTTGACCCTAAATTAGAGTAATGGATTTTATTGAATTTGTTTGTTTTATTGGTGAAAAGAGGAGCTGAGGTTCTTAATATTTAGCTGTTAACATTAGCTATTTTGTTCATCGAAAAGCGGGGTTCTAACTATTCCTATATAAACAGGTGGTGGTAGTTGACAACAATAGTAGTTCAGTGAATGATTCAAGTGTTACCACAGTGCATGACAATATTTAGATGATAATAAAAGTGGCGCAACTTTTCTTATAAGGATCTTGCAATATCTCGAGACAGCACATTATTTGAGAAAAGGCCTATTTCCAAAGCATAACAGCTTGCGTTTTGTGGTGTGAACTTAATATCTATTTTGCTTGGATTTGATCAGTATTCCTTTTCTTTTGTTTCTTGTTAGTTCATGAAAACCTACAAGTTGCTCACATCCTAAACTTTTGTAGGGTCTTTTGCCGCCACTTTGATGCTCCACATCATTTGCGCAAGCATGAATGGGCTCCATATCGTGAAGGTAAGTTTTCTCCTTACATTCTCCATTCATGTGTGTTGTAGTAGTCACTGTGCTATTATATGTAGCAATGACTTTGCTTATTACATACTACACAACCATTGAAATTTCAAGGTCTAAATTTTTGTCTCTTGAGAGTAACTATTAACACCCTATTCATTGTTTAAAGGGAATTATACTTGTTTCCTATTTTGTTGGATGTGAGAGTGCTCCATTTTGTTTCTCTTTGATTATTGATTTTATGGGGAATTTGTATATGCTTGTAGGTATATAGGCTTAGATGCTTTGGTTGTACAAGGTTTATGCCTCCACCTTTCTTTTATGGAATAAATATGTTTGTTCTATAGTTCATTTTGAAGTATAAGAAGGTTATAATTTTGTCCAAATATAGTGGATACTAACACAATTATAAAATGTCTCCATTGTTACTTGAAGAAAGCATAATATGGCAGTTCGGATTATAAGCTTAATTTAGGTAATTACTGATTGGATGTCATGTTGTGCAGAATGTTTTGATTGACACAGTACTTGAACTTGGAATAAGAGTGACTGTAGCAATGGGAACCAATCGCAATTTAGACGCTAGTAATAAATAATTTTTTGTTCTTTTTGTTGTTTCTTCTTTTTGTTTTGTTTTGTTTTGTGTGTGTGTGTGTGTGTATGTGTGTGTGTGTGTGTGTGAGAGAGAGAGAGAGGGGGAGAGAGAGAGAGAGAGGGAGAGTCAAACTGTCTTATGTTACCCATAGTATGGAGGGGATTAAGAGTACGGTGAGATTGAGTGAAGAGATTGTTAGTATGGTGGTATTAAGTTGGAAATGTAGGATAAAGAATGTTTGTTTGTACATCACCAAATTAGTAATACTATAGATAATATAATATATAAAATAAATCAGTGTGTTTGGTTTGAGTTTTCTGGATTAAATTTTTTGAAAACTGACTTTTTTGGTTTTCGTGTTTTTTTGTTTTTAGTGAATATTTTTTAAATTTTAAACATTTTTTTTTACTTTTTTAGATGCACCTTACTTAGATGTATCTAAAAAGTAAAAAATTTGTGAAAAAATATTTTAAAAAATTAATAAATACATAAAAATACAAAAAATGTTCTAAATTCTTGTATTTTTGGTATTTAGTAAATTTTTAAAAGATTTTTTTTACAATTTTTTTACTTTTTAGGTGTATTTATGTTAGGTGTGTCTAAAAAGTAAAAAAACTTGCTTAAAATATTTTAAAAATTCAGTAAAAACAAAAAAATACGGAAAATAAGAAAGTAGAATTTTCTGAAAAGTGTTTTTTGAAAAGTGGAAACAAGCAAGGTGAATATTTTTTTAAATTTTAATATTCATTACCCTGCTGATGTGTGTTTCCTAGCAGAGTTATTTGTGATTAGTCATTTTCCTAGTGCATTGGTTTACTTGGTTTAGATTATTTTTAATAGAGCCAATTGGAGGCCCCAAGTAATTGGAACATAGAGTTGACTTTTGTGATGATGGTGGGTAATGGAAGAATGAATGTACTTCATCAAGTTCTTATTGTGTAAATTTTTCTATAGAGCAAGTTGAGAGGAAATTTAATTGAGATTTATAGACAAAATAATGGACAAGAAGATAGAGAAAAAAAAATAACTATTGCCAAAAATTAGTCTTAATGTTAAGTTAATAAAATTGATTTAACTCATTCTGTTCAATTTGGCCCTTTTTCAAATGTGTGGCTAGGTCGTGATCTTTGTGTTTTACTATAAACTCTTAATAGATCAATGTCTTTTGTGTATTTTACTGGTTGAGAGCTCTGTTTCTGCTCCTACGGATGGACAAAACACCCGTGGTCTAACAATGGCATCCAAGCACCCTCCGATATAGTCTGGCATCTATCCAATTTTCACACCAAACTATGAGATAACTATCGTCTATCATTTTGTGTATCTCACAGATTACTGAGTCACCAATATTTCTACCTTCTAAAACCGCAGAGAAATGCAATCTTTCTAATATAACATCAAAATCTATAGGATAAAGCACAGTAAGCAAGCATTCCATAGCAAAAGTCAGAGTCCTTATTTTAACAAAATGATAAATAATAGATGAACAACTCAAATCATATGTTAGCCTTCTAAGAAACCTTCTGATTGATTAGAACTTCAGTTTATGCTTGTCCCTAGACCTTTTCATTTGGATTTCCAAGAAAATGGTGTTAATCATTATCTTTGGTTTGCCAGGAAAGAGCATTAGGGAAGGGCACTGAAGCCCTTCCTTTGCCAGCATTCTCAAACAGGGCATGGCAAATGCAAAGCCATAGCATGGTGTTGAAGTCGACTGTGGTTGATATCTTCATAGAGCTTTAATTCATATAATGAACTATGTTGAACTATTAAGTGAAAGGACTATATTAAGTGAAACTGGAAGAAGCCCTAAATGGCTACTGCCCAGACTCCTGAAAATAAAGAAATATCCCGTGAACAACAGATATTCATCAACAGGATTATGCTTGGCTACTAGAAATGGTGGGATTAGGCAGCAGCTTCACGGGATTGGTGACAAAGACAGTGTGGTTATTGTTGACCATGGTTCACGCATAAAAGAATCTAATCTTATGCTAGGTAAGCTAAACTAGTTCCCTTTATTTGAGTCCTTTTTTACTATCTTTTTTGTTATTATGCTGGTATGCTGATAATCTGATAATTGTTGAACTACGCGTTGGTAAATGTTGTAAGAAGCTGACGAAATCAAAACTTATAATTTCAGATGAGTTTGCAGCAATGTTTAGAGATAAAACTGGCTACCCCATTGTAGAGCCTGCTCATATAGTAATGTTTCTTTTGATACTATGTGCAAACTACTGGGAAAAAAAAAAAAAAAAAATTGTTAAATCTTGGTAAAAAGCTGTTTGCTGGTCTAAAGTTGAACTATAAGCCTATATAGTGGCAGATGGACAGTTGACATCAATCCAGAATTTCACCTCTCTTATATTTACTTAGATCTTCGTCCACGTTTTGATGTCTTTGACCCTATCGAGCAGGCAAAGGCCATGGGCACCTTTTTCTTAGTAATGGTGTGCCCAAGTTAACTTTGCATTATGATCATCTTTAGTTTTTAAGCAAAATTAGTTTAAGCAGAGAGATGAGAATCTGATCTCTTTTTTCAATAATTGGTTTAGTCCAAGTAACTTTGCATTAGGATCATCTTTAGCTTTTGAGCAAAATTATGCATTCTTGATTTTCAAGATGTTCTCTTTCATGCCGGTAAAATAAAATAATAATAATAATAATAAAAAATTTATAAAAATGTTCTCTTTCATGCTGTTGAATTTTCACTGTTGATATCTTTATTTGAGTAGGAGTTGGCAGAACCATCAATAAGAGATGCATTTGGTTTGTGCGTTCAACAAGGGGCAAATCGTGTGATTGTAAGCCCATTTTTATTGTTCCCTGGACGGCATTGGCACCAGGTAAGTGAGCATGATATTCATTGATAACTAGACCGTGATAATATTTGTGAACATAACACATGAATCTAGGATGGTTGATGAACTCTAAGAACTAAAAAGCACAGTGAGATGTATAATAACCTGTTTTTTGCAGGATATTCCTTCCTTAACAGCTGAAGCTGCGAAAGGGCACCCAGGCGTGTCATATATCGTAACTGCACCTCTTGGCTTTCATGAACTACTTGTGGTATGAAATTTATTAATTTTCATTATTTCATCAGTGCAAAATATCTTGATAAAAATCCCCTGAAAATTTGACAATATGTATCAGATTTTACTTCCTAAATTTACATCTATTAATAGCTTATGCCTTCTCCCCATTCCCTCTCTCTCATTGTTTTGACTTGGTTTACCCTTCCCTTGATAAAAATCATTTCAAAACTTCACAATTTCAAGATATTTTCTTTTTTTGGGAATTTTTTTGCATTAATTCATTCTCTCTCTCTCTCTCTCTCTCTCTCTCGTATTGTTTTGTAAGATGTTATGAATGATAGAATCAAGTATTGCTTAAGTCATGTTGCTAGAGATGTAGATGAGTGTTCAGTTTGTGCTGGTACAGGCAAATGTCGGGTCTATTGATTAATGGAAGTGTTAAAGCAACAAACTCTACAAGGTTTCCTCAAAAATGAGTGGCTCTCTCGACACAAAGACAAAAGTGACCGACTATATCACCATCTAATTGTTGACAAACTCTACAGGATTGGTGACAGATCAGAGACGGTGTGGTTATTGTTGACCATGGTTAATGCCGAAAAGAATCTAATCTTATGCTAGGTAAGCTAAACTAGTTCCCTTTATTTGAGTCCTTTTTTACAATCTTTTTTGTTATTATGCTGGTATGCTAATAATCTGATCATTGTTGAACTACGCTTTTGAATCAAACTTAGGTAAATACCTCGTCAATTAGGAAAATGGTTGCAGTGCGTGCAATTTGACCGGCCAACTGAAAAGAAACAAATGAAAATGAAATCAATATAAACACATGTACATATTACATCTCCAAGTCACATACTGGAATTCATCTAGCAACAAGAAAATTAAGAAATAAAAAATTTCCCAAAATAGCAAGAGTCCCACTGACTCTTAAACATAAATCCTCTGTGAGAAAAATTTCCCAAATCAACTTAAAACTAGCAAAAATTGCTAGAATCAACCTAAAATCACTCAAATGGAGAGAGAGAGAGTACTATACCAATTCTTTCACATCCTTCCTTTGCTATCTAGTTCGATTTATCTGAATACTGAATTAAACATACGCACATGGAAAATTAAGTCAGACACAACTTCAATGAATATGTTATATGAAATGCTAATTGAGTCACTACAATTTTGCTTACACCACAAATCCTCTGTGGATCCATCATGCACCGGAAATTAATATTGAGAACATAAACTTGTCCAATGACTACAAAATAAAAAAGCAGCCAAAGGAATTGTATGAGAAGAAATTAAACTCAAGTTTACTGCATAGATATTAAACGAAACAATCAGTAGGGGAAAGTATATATGAAGTAAAGAAAGAAAAGTAGGAAATCAGAAAATTATATTCCCAAACAAAGAACGGCTGGGGATGCAACCTCACAATCATTCAAACTTCCATAAAGTGATAAAACAATCTTTTCTTTTAAAAACGTAAGAGTTAATTCTAGTCCTTGAACAAATCAGTATTCTGTTGGGATCAATTTCAAATTTATAATTATAGAACTTTCAAAAAAAAAATTTAATATAAATCTAAACTCTTTGATTACCACATTTATTTAAAAAAATAAAAATAAAAATAAAAAATAAACACATAAACACAAACACAAACACAAGCAAACAAACAACTAATACAGTCTATTAAAGTTCAAACTACAATTCAAATTGCAATAACATAAGTAAAATAAAGGGCTTAGAGGCAAACCTAACAATTAAAACCACAATAGCATTAAAGCAAGCTTGAATTGAACGGAACTAAATTTCAAATTAATCAAATTTTAATCCTCATTAATAGTAAAAGCCTATTTCATCTTTTTGTTGTAGTATTAGGTAATCCTATACAACAGCCCCCCTAGAAATTCAAAAAATTTTGTTTGCCCTAAATTGTTAGTAGAAAATAACATCAGAGAACTGAACACAATTCCAAAATTATACAAACAATAAACCAATAAAATTTCTTCAATCGGGCAAAAATTTGAACTAATCACTATGTTCTTCATAGATACATGTATATATGTATGTATAGGCGGAGAGAGAGAGAGAGAGAGAGAGAGAGAGAGATTGAAATCGCACCAAATCGCTATTGAATCAAAATTTGCTACAATCTCTGTTAGAAACCAAATCAATCTTGTATATATTTGCAAAAAAATTGAAGAAATGATAGAAGATCTCATAATCTGTTTATATATATATGTATGTGTGCGTGTGTGTGTGAAGCTCAGCAAAAAATGATAGAAGCTCTCATAAAATTGTGCGTGAAGATGAAAATCTCAACTGCCATGAAAATCATTGATTTACTTCGGATTAAAGCCAAGGAATTCAGATCTGCGTTGGAGCCATGAAAATGAGATCGATCATGGCAAGTTAGGGCAAGAAGAGTCCTAGACAGAGATTGGAATCCTAGAAGGAGAGATCGAATTTGGCAAATTAGGGCTGAAGAGAGAGTCCCGACTTTTGTGTGCGGTGGTCCTTTTTCAGCCCCGACTTTTTAATTGTGAAAAGATAAAAAAAAAATTAGTCGCTAAATGTTTTTAATCGGTAATGACAAAAATATGCTTGGATATCATTTTTTAACATATTTTCCAAAAAATTTTATTTTTCTATTTTTCATATTTTTTTATTTTTATTGAATTTTTTTAATATTTTGAACAAATTTTTTAATTTTTAAACATACCAAACATACATATACCTAAAAAGTAATGACAAAAATATGGCTAAATGTTAGGAGTGCTTTAGGAATATTGGTAAAACATTTTTTTTTAATTTTTTTTTAAACTTTTAATCAAGTTTTTTCTTACTTTCATAAAAATTCATTTGAAAAGTGGGTTTAGTTAATATTTATTTATGTTGCGGTATCAACATGGCTAAATGTAAATTGACCAAATATCCCTACCCAATCTACAAAATATACATTTTCACCCATGTCCAAACATATATCATCCTCATCATTCCCTAGGTCCAAACATGTGAAGATAGAAATATATATGTAAATAATGTATAGTTGACATCAAACATGATGGCCATGACAATTTGGAAGTGCCACTGCAGCACAATGCAATAACGGAGACCTGGTGTATCATCATTCTGCTGCTTCTTCTTCTTGGTCGGCAACAACTTAACTCACTTTTGTTATAAATTCTACAGGACAACCGACACAGGGAGCATCGACATATACAAAACAGGGACAGACCGAAATCTGTGCACCATAACACTCCCCAAACATGAAACACATACACGATCAACAAATCGAAGGCAAAAACGCAAAAATAAACGACTCAGCAAAGACGCATGAAGAATAGGTTGGTGTGTTTGCTACAAATTCGACAGGAAAATGAAAAATTTGGGTGCCGAAAAGAGTATGAAGGCATACCTAATTCTGCAAAGACACCGAAGAAGCCGACCTGGAATAATGGCGTTTGATGCGTTATTGACGGCCGACGGTTGCGACATTGCTTTGGCAAGGCGAACCCACAGCGGTGCGGGGAGAAATAGTGAGTCAAGCAGCGGGACAATGAAAATGTGAAGCCCTATTGAAATGGAACCCCATACAACATGGAGGGTTGTTCCGTAATTTTACCTTTGGCTTATACCCACAATCTCGGGAGCTTCTATTTGCATACACTCATTTCACTCTGTAGACACCCCATTTTTGACCGCCTTTAAGACTTGGATGCAATTGATGGTTTTAGAAGTTGTGCAGTGCAAAGGGTCGATTTCTTCGGTAAGAGGAGAGTCAAATCTCAACTTTATACCCCTTTTTGGACCAAAACAATCTTGATCAAAATATTTTAGACCTTAAAACCCTCTCTTTCAAAACGTTTTTGAAATAAAGTTTTTACGATATTCTGAGGCTCGCATTTTGTCAAATGTTGCGCTTTTCGGTAAACCGAGCAAGGACAAAGTGGAAATGAGCGAAAGAGAGATGAAATCTTTGAAAAATGTTTCAAAACACCTTGTCTAGGGGTTTGAAGTTGAAGAAAATGGGAGAAGAGAGAGGAAAACTAGTTTGGGAGAAGTTCGGCATGAATCCGGATAGGACCAAATCTGCGCGGCTTCACCGAAACGGGCATAACTCTTTGCACAGGAGGAATTTTGATGCGAGGTTGGTGCCATTGGAAAGCGACCTTCTGGGGCTTCAATGTGGCCACATGGAAAACTAGAAAATCAGATGGCCGACCAGCTTTTTTGGTCAAAAGTGGTTCAACATGAATCTGGGAAGGAGAGAAAACATCTGCGCGGCTTCACCAAAACGGGCATAACTCTTTGCACAAAAGGAATTAAGATATAAGGCCACCACCGTTGGAAAGCTTACTTTCGGGGCTTCATTTTTCACTCAAGAATCTCCTAAGGACAAGTTCGGGTGGGGGAGATATAGTTGGTTGAGGTCCGTTTGGACTGAATCTGCGCGGCTTCACCAAAACTGGCATAACTTTTTGCACAGGAAGAATTTTAATGCAAGATTTGCAGCATTGGAAAGCTAACATCAAGGGCTTCATGGACAACCAGCTTTAGGGCTTGAACTTTTTGACCCCTGGTCGGCCGACCAGGGCGACCAGGGGGAGTGGCCGGCCGGCCACTTGAACTGGCCGGCCTGCTTCTTGCTTTTTGCCCTCTCTGAGTACTTTACAGTTGTGCCAGCTGCGGGGCATTTGGTGCATGGAGGATCTTTGAAGCTTTCAAGAGAAGCTTTGGCCCCTCTTCTCTATAAGAGAGGCCCTCCTCTTGTTTTCTAAGGGTTAGACATTTTTGGCCAAGGCACATAACCTCCCACCTCCATTGCTACTATTCCAAGCTCCAAAACCCTAACTTTCTTGGTCCATTTACACTAAAACCCTTAGCACCACATCTCCATCATCCATTCCAGCACCTTGGAAGTCATTTGCAGAGGTTGGAAGCTCATCAACTTGGTCCAAAAGCTGCTGGAGGTCGGCTCTTCAAGGGTAAGTCCTCATTTTCCCCATTTTTGCATTATTTTGCCCTATATCTTAGCTCCATTTGAAAGCATTTTCAAGCCTTGGTGTAAACTAAAAATAGTATTATTTTGAGCTACTCTTTATGTTTGTTTAAGAGCACTTTTCTGTTTGAGGCCTTCTACACCCTTGCATGCTTTACCCCTCTTTGTAGCCCTTTTTTGCATTATACTTTAGCCTTACTTGTGAACACTTTCGAGATTTTTCATAAACTAGAAAGTGCCTTATTTTGAGCTCCTCTTCAACTTTGTTTAAGGGCACTTTGCTGTTTGAGGTCATCTACTTCCTCTTACCCTCTATCTCTCTTTTAGGGCTATTTTTGCATCATACTTTAGCCTTACTTGTGAGCATTTTTGAGATTTTCTATAAACTAGAAAAAGTCTTGTTTTAACCTCCTCTTTAAGTTTACTTGAGGTCACTTTTCTGTTTAGAGTCATCTCCTTCCTTGCATGCTTCATCCCTTCATGATTAAGGCTATGCATTAAAGCATTTGCATTGGCCATGGTTTGGCCTCTTAGCCACTGAAATCCAGTGGATTTTCAGTGGCTTTGATGCATTTTTTAGGGCCAAAATTAGAGGGGGGGTGACCCCCTCTCTCCTTGTCTTGTTTGGGGGTCTTTTGGGCCTTCCAAAAAGACCCTATTTTTCATGCATCGAAGTCTTGTTTCAGGCCTCATTTTGTGAGTTTTGGGGTCTGCCTTAGGTCTGTCCAGGGCCCATTTGATCATATTTTATGTCTACAATGCATGTGTAGAACAATTCCATTCAAGGCCTTTTGAGGGGGCCTTTCTTTTCATGTTTCCTACACTGATTTCAGGGCCAATTTTGTGAGTTTTAGGGCTGTCATAACTTATTTCCAGAGTTAGTTTGGTCATGCTAAGTGTCTATTTCATATGTGCTTAACAACCCCTTGAATGGCCTTCCAAAGAAGCCCCTCATTTTTACATGCATTGGCTGCATTTCAGTGATTATTTGGGCATATTTTGGCATATTTTATTCACTGTTTTTGGCTGGTTTGGTGAGTTCTCATTTGCTTCATATACATGCCACATAAACCATCCTTGCTAGTCAATGTTGCATGCTATTTTAGTCTATCATTTTAGCATCTTTTGGCCATGCTCTAAACTAGAAATGTGCATGTTTTGGGGCTGCCTTGGTTCTGTCTTTAGACTTCATGATCAAATAATGCTTGCTTTGTATACTTGTGGTTCAAATGCATGTGCCTAGTATTGAGTTTTGGGGCTTATTTCATGCATCGGGTGCCATATTTCCATGTTTCGGGACCATTTAGCATTATGTTTCAATGCTGAAAATTACATGTTTGAGTGCCATGCTTCATCCTTGCCATGTTTTGGTAGAGTGGCATTCAATGCCTTAGGTTCGGTCCTCGGTTTACGTGCATATGTGCACGCATTTTGGTTGTCTCATTTTTGTCTAATGGCTACTGATGTGAGTGTGGCTGAGGTCCACTCGTGTTGGTGTAAGTCCATCATGCATTGTGTATGCCATTTTAGTCCTTAGCATTGCGTATGCTAGGTTGCGTGTTAGTGCATTGTGTATGTCATATTACATCGAGCATTGTGTATGCCATCTCATAGCATTGCGTATGCTAATGTGTATGTTAGTTGCATTGTGTATGCCATCTCATTTGCATTATGTTTGGGATAGGAGTTACCCCAAGCACGGGAAACGAGGGACGTTTCGTACTCCGAGTGACGGAACGTGTCTCAATTCCCTATCGCCGACAGTCCGGATTACCCATGATGGAGTTTAGGTCTTGTTGTGTTTTCATGTGCATTCATTTCATATTGAGTCGTGCAATTCGATCCCTCGGCCATCATGCATCGATATGCGCGATTGGTGGCACGAGGATCGAGGACTACGCTCCCTGAAGAGTAGTCATGCATACATATGTGAAAATACTTTGTCATGCCCCTTTGTTGCTTTCTGTTGCAGTAAATCAGAAATCAGCGGCCTTCTGGAGCGTTGCACAATATTTCAAGAACAATTGCAAACAGAGGCAAACCGGGGCATCGCAATGGTTTGCCGCGCAAGGCAACTCAAGCATGCATCATTCATCATTCGGAACAGAGCTGAGGCGGTCCATGGATTTACGTGCCAATTTACCTGCTTTCTTAGATTAATTTGTTAATTAATTAGGATTTTGTATTCATTCGGACTGTACTATTCATTCGGACTGTATTATTTTTTCGGACCCTCCAAGCGAGGGCACAATTGTAACAAGTGTGCGTGCATGTGATGTATGTCTTCCAACCCCACGTCTTTCTGCCTTTTATTTACCAGCTTATGATGGTTAGATTAAGGCATGTTTCAATTAGCATACAGTATGATAACATGTTTGCATTCATTCATCTGTCTTGCATGCACGGGCTCGGCGCACCATACTAACTACATTTGTATTTCAATTCCAAATTGAATAAATGTTAGTTGTAGCATTTCATATGCCATCTTAGAATAGCCGAGCCTGCTATAGTTGCATTTTGTATGT